CAAGCGCAAGGTCCTGAGTTCGATCCCCATACCAAAGAAATAAAAGAATTTTCGTTCTTAATACTCCTATTCCTCTGCTAAGAGTTCCTCTGCTTCCAGTTCTTTGCTTTGCGCCTTTATGTCCTGGCGCATTGTTCTCAGAGCTGCATGAAAGCCTCATGTGCTGACTCCGCTGTCTGGCCCACCCCACGACGGGGTCTCATCTCGAATCTGGGCCGCGTCCTCCCGTTCCTTCATGGTCTGGGCTCTTTGAGTTGTGCTGTGGATGCCTGAATGACCCATGTAGAGAGTGATTTTGGTTTGTTTCATCACACAGTTTGGCTAAACTCAAACTTCCTGCTCTGTTTCCACTGGAACCTTTAAAATCTGTTGCATTTTTTTAGCTTTACTGGGCTGCACGGCGTCTGCCTCGCACCTGACCCAGTGAGGGCTTCAGCCAAGACAAGGACCTGGTTCTCACCCCAAATTTAGGGCTGTCCTGAGTCCTCATTCTGAGACTCCCATCTCATCCCCAGCTCTCTTAGGGGCCCCAACCTCTGCTCTCCATTTCTTCAAGCCTTGAAGCTGGAGACAGAGCTCAGCAAGAGAGCATTTGCCTCCTTGGTTTGATGCCCAGCACTAAGGAAGGTCATGCATTCTTGTTATCCTAGCCCTTGGGAGGCTGATGCAGGAGGGTTATGAATTCAAGGCCAGCCTGGGCTGTGTAAGAAGACTCTGTTTCAAAAAAACAAAAAATGGAGGACACTATGCCCATCTATAAGACTAAACATTTCTATTGGCCTTTTATCAAAAAATGAGTAACACTGCCAGGCTTGGTGGTGCACGCCTGTAATCCCAGCATTTGGGAGTCTGAGGCAGGAGGATCGCTGTGAGTTTGAGACCAGCCTGGGCTACATAGTGAGTTCCAAAACCAGCTACTGCCTCCCTCAGTCCAGAAAAGTAAAAACATGCCAGGCATGGTGGTGCTTGCCTAGAATCCCAGCACTCAGGAGGCTGAGGAAGGAGGGTCACCATGAATTGGAGGCCAGCCTGAACTACACAGTGAGACCAGGAAAAACAAAAACAAGAAAACCCAGGACAGAAAGTCACGCAAATACGAAAGCAATGCCCCATCCTCTTCCTTCACTCCAGGGGTGCACAGTTCCTGCCTGCTCCTTGGGCTGCTCTCGGCCGCCTGACTGTGGCGTCAGGAGTCTGTGGCTAGTACCCTGCAGAAGGCTGGCCTGCCACGTCTGCCTGGACCGTGCTGAGGCAGAACCTCTTTGTTGCGATGCCCGCCTGGGTTCTAACCTCCTCGTCCGTCGTGTTATTCCCTTGTATGTAGCTGTTGTCTTCCCCCTTAGAACGTCTCACGTTCCCACGTCTCAGCACGAGACCTGCCTCCTTTTCCACAGAACCCCTCCGATCACCTCGGCCCACCCCGACTCGAAGGGCCCCACGCTGCCGTGCCCGTTGCCCCCTTTAGTCGCTCAGCCCACCCTGTGCTCGCAGCTTTTCAGTGGGCCAGATGCTGCTGTCCTGGGCGGGAACCCCTGTTCCTGTTCGCCTTCTTTCCCGCAGGGTCAGTGGACGTTCTTTTAGGAAGTTTGAATTAATGGCTGTTCTAATCCTGTGCGCGTGTGAAACGCTTAGAACGTTACCTGGCCGGTAGTGAAGAGAAACGGTGAACGTTTTGTTACTGTTTTTACCCGAGCGCAGAGTCATATGAATCGCTGAGCCCTGCACGCTCCTGTCTCCACCCTTTACTGATTGTTTCTATCATTAGATTCAAACCCTTGAGGAAACCTAAAACTGGAGAGTCAAGGATTTAGCTCAGTGGTTCAGCCGCCTTCCCTGGGTCCCAAGTTCAATCCCCGGTATCAAACAAACACAAAAAGACACCTAAAACTAGAAAATATGTAAGACTGTCTGATAAAATCCCCATATATTCATTTAATTTTTTTTAAATCTTTCTGAGACAGGATCTCACTGCGTAGCCCCAGATTGGCCTCAAACACATGGTGATCTTCCTGCCTTAGCCTCCCCGTGTGCTGGGATCATCTGGGCCCCGTCACGCCCCGCTGAAGCCCCTCATAGCACAGATCTGGAAGTGAGGCTCGGAGAGGCATCCTGCCCTCTGCCCTCCTGTGTTGTCCTTGGGTGTCCTTGGGGGCCTGTGCCCGCGTGTGACAGGAAAATCCACCCCTGCTCTTGGGGCTCTGGTCTGTCCCACGGTTGCAGTGCTTCTTGACGTGCCTGCGCTTACTGGACTGTGGGCAGCAGAGGCCAGAGATGTTGCCGGACATCTTCGGGAGCGCAGGATGGCCAGACTACACAGAATATTTGGTCTGCAGCGGCAGCAGCGCTGGGCACGAAGAAGCCTTTCATTCATCGCTTGCCCAGTCCTGTATTCCTGTTAGGCGGTGGCTGAGGCTGAGGTGGGAGCATGGGTGTGTATGTCCTGGTCTCCCCACCACCCTTCAGGATGCCCTGGACAGAGCCCAGTGCCTCACTCCTGCTGGGAAAGGACTCTGCCACTGAACCACACCGCCCCCACACCTTATAAATAAAGCTAGCAGTGTTCAGGGGTGGAAGCTCAACGCTCTGCAATCCTCATCACTTCCCAAAGGCCCCAACTCTGAATGTGGTAATGGAGCTAGGCATGTGGCACACACCTGTAACCCCAGCACTCAGGAGACTGAGGCAGGAGGATCCCCCTAAGTTTGAGGGCAACCTGGGCTGCACAGTGAGACCCTGTATCAGAAAACCAAAAATATGGGCCTGAGATTTAGCTCAGTGGTGCCGCTGCCTGCCTCGAAAGCTCAAGGTCCCGAGTTTGATCCCTGGTACCAAAAAAAGAAAAGAAAAGAAAACCAAAAATAAATAAGATAATGGAATTAAGTTTCCAGCCTCTTCCTACCTCACAATGGGGATTAAATTTCAGCTCATGAACCCTTAGGAGTCACACTCGTATCATCTCAAAACCACAGCACCTGGTTAACAACTTCTGTTGTTCCAGAAAGTTCTTCATGTCAGATTAATGCTTTGATATTTGTTCTCTTTATTTCTACTTTCTTGGTTTTGATAAGAAATTTTAAATAGCCAAAATATGTAGGAAAAAATGCCAGTTTTTCAGACCGCCTTATCTCATCTGCACCCCTTTCAGGCCCTTGACTTGCTGTGGAGCTGTTTGAAGAGCACTGCTGCATGCAGGGACCCAGGCTCCTCAGTGCCTTAGAATAGGACTTCAGGTCTGTGTCGCTAGGGGAGCAGACAGCTTGCTGTCACCAGCTGGAGGCAGGAAGGGGCGGAGCTGTAGTCCCCCAACCCCCACCCTGGGCTGTGGGGTCCTCAGCCTTCCTTACCCCTATGCGCATGCGCTAGGCTAGAGATCACCTCAGTGACCCCCAGGACTGGACCTAGGACCTGGAGAGACCTGGATGGAGCCAGCTCCTCCTCTAACAAGAGACCCAGAGCTCAGACCCACTTCTCAGAGTGGCCTGGAGGCAGGTGCAGATCCCCGGGCTGCAGGGTGGAGGAAAATCCCAGGTCTGGGCAGCTTTTCCGTTCCCTTCCCTTGCTCTGTTGCCCCCTCTCAGCGGCAGGCACCTGATGACCTCTTGCTCCGGAAGCCACTTCAAACCTTACTTAATGTTTGCACCCTAAAAGTGATTCTTACCTGAGAAGGAGCTTGGGGTTCAAGTGTGACACGGGTACTTATGCAAGGGGATATACGAGGCCATGTTAAATCTTGTGAATGGCTAGGCTGTCTTGCCATTCTTTGTAGCAAAATAATATCGAAGAGTAACCTCAGGCGGGGTGGGTGGCGTGCACCTATAGTTTCAGTTACTCCGTAGAGGCTGAGGCAGGAGGATCACAGGTTTGAGTCCAGCCTGAGCATCGTAGCCAGACTGTTGCAGCGTTTTTAAAAAGATTGGGGCTGTAGCCAGTGATCAAGGGCGTCCCTAGCTCAATCCCCAGTACCATGGATGTAGTTTCAGTGTAAGTGACTCGATAAAGTGTCATATTTGTAGGTTTTTCTGAAAATCGTATTCTGAGACTTGAAACAACAGTTGTTTTTTTTTTCTCCGTATGGTGTTTCAGACACAAGAAAGAGTTGCTTTGCAGAAACACATCCTGAGGACACATTGACGAGGTATCAGGCCTTGAAAGCTGGCTCTGGAGAGGAGTCAGCTGTCCCTGTTCTGCAGGCCGGTGAGCTCACTGGTGCTCCAAACCTGCACACCAGGGTCAGCAGTGCGTGGACGGAGGGGAGCCGAATCCTGACTGATCGATAAGTAAACAGAGGGGAGCAAACAGAATGCTAAAGGACATCAAACACACGGAGGACGGCAGGATTTTGTCCCACAAATGACAAAACATACAGGCAGGGTCATGGTTACCTGAGAGCCAGCGGGAGCTCAGCATTGGAAGCAAAGAGTAACCCTTCAAAGCCACTTTGACCGCTGCTGCTAAGGGCTGAGGCCTCAGATCCTGGATTTGTCCAGGAGATGGCAAACAAGACAGCAGGGAGCACCTGTGACCCTGGTGGCCTCCTGCCAAGCCGCCCCACGGGGGTGAAATGCTGGTCGCTGAGTGCTGAGCTACTAGAAACAGAGCGATTTCTTAACATATCAAGAGATCTTAATAATGCCACTTATCTGAAGCAAAAACACCGAAATCGTTTTAGTAAGACTTATCAGAGACCCCGGTTTATGCAGAGAGGGAATTGTAAAATTTCTGGGGTTTTGGAAGGAAGAATTTGCTCACCTCAATGTATAGTTTTCTGATTTGAATCTTCATGTTGAATTTAAGCAACTGGAACTGTTTTTTAGTGCATGTAGATGAAGTTGTTGAACATCATCAGGTCTGTAGATCAGATTTTTTAAGTCCTTTACTGCTGTAAATCAGTGTCAGGAAGATCATTTTATAGTACATCATGAACAAGGATCGTGTGTAGAAATAACGTGACTTTCTTGATCTTTAGATGTGTGTATGTTGGTTTTTTTTTTTTTTTTTAGATGTGTGGTTTTTAACAACAGAGGAGTGGCGGGAGAGAATCTCTTGGTAAGTAAATTTAAATGACAAAAGTCTCAATATTTTAAATAAACATTTCCAGTTTTATGATTAAAAAGTATGTTCCAGCCAGGTATGTAGCTCAGTGGTGCTGTGCTGCCTTGCAAGTACAAAATCGTGAGTTCAATCCCCTGTATCGGGAAAAAAGGATGTTCCTTTTTATTTAAAATAATTATTTTAGGGCCAGGGATTTGGCTCAGTGGTTCCACTGCCTGCCTTGCAAGCACAAGGACCTGAGTTCAATCCCCAGTACCCAAAAAGTAAATAAATAAATAAATAATAAAATAAAATAATTATTGTACTGTTTATGTAAGGCATGCGAGTTCATAGCAGAAAAATAAAGATAAGAAACAAAAGAGGAGCCTGGTGTGGTGGTGCACACCTGTAGTCCCAGCACTCGGAAGGCTGAGGCAGGAGGATCGCTGAGTGTTTGAGACCAGCCTGGGCTACATAGTGAGTTCCAGGTCAGTCTCAACTACACAGTAAGACCCTGTCTCAAAAAACAACAACAACAAAAGAAAAAAAAGAGGAAATTTACAAGAGTCATATTACAAAACCAGAGAGTTCCTTAGTCTGCGTTAATTCAATCACATGTACATGTATATATGTAATATACTTGTTTTTTGGGGGGGTACCCGGGATTGAACTCGGGTCCTTGTTCCTACAAGGCAGGAGGCAGAACCACTGAGCTAAATCCCTGGCCCTATATTTTTAGAAAAATTAAGATTCTATTTTATAATAACTTTTCTGCTTATACTGTATTCTAACACAATAGATATTCATCCACATCATTTTTAATTCAAAACACTTTAAAAAAATGAACCAGTACAGCCATGCATGATAGCGCACACCTCTAATCCCAGCACTTGGGAGGCTGAGGCAAGAGGATCACCAAGAATTCAGTGCCAGGTTGGGCTTCATAGTGACTTCAAAGCTAGCCTGGACTACATAGGGAAGCCCTCTCTCAAACAAACAAAATCTCACTCTCTCTGATCTTTAAACTTGTGAGTTAGGCAAATGTGGTTGCTTATACCTGTAATCCCAGCACTTGGGAGGCTGAGGCAGGAGGATTGCTGCAAATTTGAGGCCAGCCTGAGCTACATAGTGAGTTCAAGGCCAACTGCATGTCAAGACCCTGTCTCAAAAAAAAGAACAAATTAAAAATTATGTATATTGGAATGAGAAATGGTACACTTGTGTTGAAATGTTCTTAACAGTTTTTTGGGGGAGTGGATTAGGAATCAAACTCAGAGCCTTGCACTTGTGAGGCAGGCACGGTGCTACTGAACTAAATCCCTGGCCCTTGTTCTTACAGTTTTTTGACTGACTTTTTGTCCCTTGCCACTTGGACAGGTCAAAGGTAATTGTACTAGAAATGTTGAGTCATTAATAAGAATGACAAGAGTATGAATAATTAGCCAGCCAGGCCGCAATGACACACACCTGTAATCCCAGTCCTTGAGGCTGAAGCTACAGGGTAAGCTCAAGGCCAGCCTGAACCCTGTCTCAAAATAAATAGATAAATAAATAAGACTAAATAATTAAGTCATGAGGCAATAAAAAGTCATGTCAAGGGCTGGGGATTTAGCTCAGTGATTCCAGCCCCTGCCTCACAAGCGCAAGGTCCTGAGTTTGATGCCTGGTACCAGAAACAAAGCAAAACAAAACAAACAAAAAGTCACATGTCACAAGTATTGGCTCTGCAGGAATTTGAGAGGGAAACGCCTCTTGTACTTTGCTTTACAAGCCTTGGTCCCCCGCGAGAATCAGAATCAATATTGATAAGATTTCAGAAACACAAGCTAAAGTGTTTATAGTCTTCCCCCAGTGTCTTACAATGAATAGTTTTATGGGAAGGTTCTCATTCAGAATCTTGTAGACAGTACTCTAAAAGAAAGGACTTGAAAGCCAGGCATGGTGGCCTATATAATCTCAGTGTTCAGGAGGCTGAGGCAAGAGGATTGCTGCAAGTTGGAGGCCTGGGTTCCACAGTGAGTCCAATTCTCTCTCTCT